AGATGACACGATCATTGGTTGAAGCCGAAGAACTAGAGGATTGCATGTCGGAAAAGAGGGAGTAGAAATTTCAACAGAGAACAAAGAAGCAGCAATGAATCCTCACTTCTCTTACAAAGTCTACTCTATCTAAATGGGGGCCGTAATGGTCCTCGATGCTGTAAACACGGCGTTGTGTGATATGACTGATTCTTTTTTCTTTTTTTTGAAATAAGAAAAACCAGAAAAGGGACCGACCATATCAAATGTAGAATCCCAGTGGCATTAGAACGCTGAAAGGGTCATTTCGTGGGAATGTCTCAGCCATTCGTTTTATGCAGTCTTTCAGCCAAACATGGTCTCCAAAGCCATATGCTTATTTAGAAGATCATTCAGCAGTTTCATCGCAGGACTTGCTTTATGTTGTAAGATTCTCTCTGGAATAAGCCTTGCAGATAGATATAACGATTCACTTTTCAACATTTGCCTCTAGACCCAAAAATCCCCAAGTACTGGAGGGAGACGCTAATACTAAGATAAAAGTTTCATGACACAACAATAACGATCACAAAAGAGTAGGATATCTTCCAAGTTTTAAACATATATAGCATCGGCAGCTCAAGATCTTGTATAAAAAACAACAACCCACAAAAGCACATATATACCCTCGACTCTGTATGTCTCAAAGCTGGAAACTTTTCATTTGTTTGCAGTTACACTTCTCTCCAGTTTGTAACCATTTTGATACATTTTCCTCAAAGCTTTCATTTGTGTGTGTGTGTGCCGATTCATGGATCTGTCTTCTTCAGTTTCTGCAGCGGTTCAACTTCGTCATCTCTTGGCAGGGATGGCTGGAGAACCAAGTCTGCCGTTTTTCAAAATAATTGTGTAAAGCTCCAAGGATAAGAGCTTCCGTGTCTGGGATGCTACCACGCAAACTGAATTTAAGACTTTCCAACTAGATAATAATAGTGTAACGCTCCGACCGCCCATAGTTAATGGGTCATCCACGTCTGTTCTCTCGGCTCGTGGGTCCATCCCATTCAAACGGCCGGTCCGTTAATTTTATAAGGATCTAAAGTCATGTTTACTGACCCTGCAATCACCCATTGACCTTTCTCCGTGTTTTGGCCTCACATACACGGTATTTGAAAATCACTTTCCGATCCCATCCTTAGACTACTCCAGATCAAGCACGCTTAACTTTGCAATTCTCTCTGGATGTGCTCCCGAAAAGGTAAGTGCACTTTAATGACAGAGGTAGTCAAATCAATTCTCTTAAGCCTTTCTGTATATCAGAATTCAAGACGTTACAAATAGATTCTGGATAGTTGCAGTACATCCTGAGAAGAATCTACTAGAAGCCGGACGTGGCGATGGCATGCACGTGGTCGAACTTGAAAGACTACGTCCTGCATTTGCTTTGATTATGGATTTTTTTTGTTATATGTCAAGGATAAATCTTTGTGGTTCTAAAATTATTCAACCAAGATATATGGCCCATTTACTGCTCCAAGCTTGAATCAGAGTCCAAGGATTATACAATTACAAGTGGACGGAGAAGTCAGTGTTGATGTGCTCCGATCTTGATGGTGGTTCTTACGAGTTGCACGTCCTACCAAAAGATGGTATTAAAAATAAAGATGTAAAGAGGGGGACTGGTGGTTATGCAGTATTCGTAGGCGCTGATGGGTTTGCTATTCTCGATAAAAGTGCCAGTGAGTTGCTAGTGAAGGATCTAAAGAACGAGGTGGTTCTCAAGACCCCCCTGCCTATCTTCACATTTGCTATCTTCTCCGCTGGGGTAGAAATCTGCTTCGTACATCTGAGGATAAAGTGGTTTTATTTGACATTTTTGTTCTTGGTGAACTTGAGTCACGGTTTTGTTATAAGGTATGTTGTTTGGTCCAGTGATATGGAGAGTGTTGCTTTGCTCAGCAAACATATACTAACATTCTCGCCAGCAATAAACTTGTCCTCCAGTGCACGCTCCATGA